TTTACTTCTCTTCTGCAATTCTCTTGCGAAGTGAGGAGGGGCATACTGTATCGGGCACCATGTACTGCAGCAGCCATTTTGAGTTTGCCTCTGGCTCCTGCAGCAGCAATTTTGGGGTGGTGCTCACCACCACTTCTTAAAATTCCAAAGGTGCCCCCAGATTCAATAAGGTTGGGGACTTCTGCTATGTTTCACAGAAGTAAAGAGCTGACCTTCAGACACCTCTGTCATGATGTACCTTGGACTCTCCCACCTGTTATCTATAGTTGTGGAATACCTTGATGACGTGGGAAATAAGTTGTAAGTTTTTGATAATGGAATATCCTGCATTAAAAAGTTAACTGCCCAGGCCTGAGATACTCTAGCACCACAATTTTATAACTACATAGTGATCTAAATACCAGCTTCTGTAAAGTACAACAAATGTTAAATGGCAATTTTCTATCTTTATGCAAGTAAAATCCATGTCCTACTATCATATGTTAAGCCTCCATGCAAATAGTTGTTTTAGTTATCATGTCTTCAGTCACAATTTTCAGAACTTTGATCCATTAAAACTCCTGCACTTGGAATAAAAAGCACCATTGCCAATAGCAGCACTACAAAGCCTACTAAAATATGCTAACATTTTAACAGCTTGGGGCTCTATACTTCTTTTGTCAATGAAAAATGAGTTCTAGATGGCCAAGAAGATGGGGGAAATGTTTCAGAATAGTTTGAAATATAGTGGAAGAGATGTAGAATGTGGTACAAATCCCAATACAACTACTTTAGTGCTATACTTTGTTCCCCTTAATACAGGCAACAGTCAAAGCACTACAGTAACTGTGTATACTTTCTTACAGCACAGAAACAAGAGGAGGCACTGACTACCTATAGCAATAATCTGCAAAGAGTCACACCACAGTGCTATGTAAACTGCCAATTTCAGTCCCTCAATCTGCCAGACGAAAGAAGTTGTACATATATATGTTCTCCTTCTTACTGTGTAACCCCATCTTATGCCTGTTTACTCAAAACTAAGACTCTCTAAGATTAAATGGGTACAAACAAGCATTGAGGGCTTTTTTGGGGACAAGGTGGCTGTGCTGTTGGCTCAATTTGTTCTGTAGTAAGACCTGGACTGAACTTTACAGCTCCCCTCCAAATGACTTCCTGAAGTGCCACTGATTTTATCCACTAGTATGGCTGCAGCATCCAGAAGAGCTGTGTTCACTACTATGGGAACATGTTTCAAAGCATTCACTAGGCAATCTCTGGCATTTGACTCGGCTGTGTATTGTTCTTGCAACAAATCTACATATTCAGCTCTTCCAGATGACTACAATTGCAAAGTGGAACTTGCTGTGACATCAGATGGAAAGACCATCGTTTGCTATCACCCTTCAGTGGACATTCCATATGAACAAACAAGACCCATTCCACAGCTAGGGATTTTAAGGAAGAAACACATGATCAAGTACTGAAGTCTAAGTTGGAAGTGGAAGATCTCAAGAACAACAAGCAAGATCTCAAGAACAACAAGCAATTGAGTAATTTAGTAAAATGTTTTATACAACAAAACATCGCTGCTATTCAGTCGGGCAATACCATACTAGACTCAAGAAAACCAGTACTCCCAAAGATAGGTGAACAGGAGAGTGTGTGTCTTGCTTTATCTTTCCTGACATTGAAGAGAATTCCTGAACAGATGGGATACATGTATATGGTCATTAAAGTTTTTCTATCTATCTAAAATTAAACGGGTACTACTCACAAGTATACATGAATAGGACTGCAGCCTTAGAGAGTAAGATAGAAAATGAAGCAGGATGCTGAGAACTTTTCCAGCCCTGATTTTCAACTGGAATAAGTCCTATACATCAGAAAGCAATAACATCACTAAGTGCACTGCAAAGCAAATGAATAGTAATATTTTATATTACTTCAATTTTTGCTTAATCTCTCTCTCAGCTTAGAAGAAAAAAAGGTTCTTAAATGCCCATATCTTCATCCCCTATGCGTTTAGGGGCATGCAAGCACACATTTGCTCTTCTGAAAGACAGGGATCTTTAATTCTAACATTTCAAAAAAACTTTAAAAAGTGACTAAACACAATGGACATTTGTTAGCTGCCTGCTAGCTACATTTAGTCCCACTGTACACACTGTCATTTCTTTTTCCTAGTCTGCCAAAAAAGCACCATTCCTAACTTGGATTTTTGAGTCAATCAGTATCCCTTAAAAGATGCAAAGATGATGGGGGGGGGGCTAATTTCAAATATATATCAGGGCAGGGCAAGGCTTGACTACATGTTTAAATTATTTATAACTTTTGTGAATTGGGGAAGGGCAATGGGAGGAAAATATCCAAAATTAATGAACCACAAAAAGCTGAGTCATCCTTACAGACATAGGACGATTATATTCCCAACTCTTTCTGATTCTAACAAAACGCATTTGTTTTCACTCCACAAATTTGGTTTTGAAGCTCTTTCCTAAAACCTGCCAAAAAGCGCACAGTCAGTATTCTACTTTCAAGGACATAGTCCAGGGCAGGAGCGGACAACATGAACACATATGAAACTGTCTTATACTGAATCAGATCATTGGTCCATCAAGGTCAGTACTGTCTACTCAGACTGGTAGCAGCTCTCCAAGGTCTCAGGCAGAGTCCTGCACATCACATGTTGCCTGGTCCTTTCAACAGTAGATGCCAAGGATTGAACCCAGGGCTGATGAAAAGCAAAAGCTCATCTGCTGAGCCACATGAACCCCTCACTTCCTCTGGGGCATAATCCTGAACATTCAACATTTATTTTTAAACCAATTTTTCCCCCGGTACAAAGACTTTAAAATATGGTGGCAAAAATACCAAAGGTCTGAACCATTTTAAATTCTTTATGATTTTTAAGACTGCACACAAAAGCTAGCTCAGCTTCTGATGTTACAGTATAAAATTTCAGAAGTACTGCAGAAGAAATACAAGTGTGCACTATTTTCACATCCATATTTTCATGGGTGAGATACACATTCCATTTAAATTACTTATTCTCCCTCACAGTATTTCCAACATGGTCAACAGCACTGAACACTGTCCAGCCCTGAGTTCATCAATTCAAATAAATTTTCATAACACTCAAAATGCAGCTACTCTGTCAAGATCTTACATATAAATGTCAAAAGCCTTTTAAATATTAGACACAGAAGTAGTGATGTTATTTACAAACACTCAAAGTGTCTATTACCCATAATCTTGGTGTTCCCACAGTAGCCCTTCTCTTTAAAATAACAAGTCAGACAAAGGAGATGTTCATTTGTTTCATGACAATCAAAATAAAGCTATTAAGAGTATACATCAGTTTGCTAGGCAGCTGCAAGTATTCTTCTGCAAGAAGAGAGTTTGGTCTGCACCAGGACAGCAAACATATGGATCATATATTCACCTCCAAGATTCAGCAATTATCTCAACTTTTTTTGGGGGGGGAGATCTTTTTAGGGACCATACCTTCCAACTAACGACCATTCCCATATTGTGTCTTCCTGTCTACTTCACAAACCACCCTACTTTCATTTGCTACAGTTATTCATTCTTGGACTCTGACTTCAAAACCCTCACACTTTATACATACCTCTTCCATTGGGTTTCCACATCTTTAAAAATTATCTCATATTCTGTTCAAGTCTGTTCATATTCTGTTCCATTCACCTCTGGAGTCTCCCTGATTTTATTATATTTCTAATGCTAACCACTGTTTTCAAATTTTATGGGGACATTATACATAGGACTTCTCTCTTGATTTGAGGCACTTTGAAAGAGAACTGTTATCTGAAGAGCAGAATATATAATAAAGACAACAGTGAAGGGTCTAGTCCAGGGATGGCCAAACTGTGGCTCGGGAGCCATATGCGGCTCTTTTACAGATACGGTCTCTGTAAGTAGGCTGTGATTTGATGACACGGCTGGGGAAGCAAAGGGGAGGCATGCCTCCCCAATTGGTCTTCCCTTCCCCAGCCAGTGCAGAGAAAGAAAGTAACTTTAAATGCATTCTCAAAGCCGTCCACCCCCGGCCGGCTTGAAGAAGGCATTTGTCTCTTTAAACCCCTTCTCCAAGCCAAGCTAGCCAGCATGGGAATGGGGGGGGCGGGCTTGGAGGATGCATTTAAAGTTGCTTTCTTTCCACCTCTCTCCCTCCCCCATCTATTTGCTTTCTTTCCATGTTCTTTCCACCTTTCTCTTTCTTTCTCCCCTCCCCATCTAAAGTTATCAATTTAATGTTAATAAAAAGCAAATGCGCACATTTGCCAATAAAAACATGTGTATAGTATTTGTCATGTCCTGCGGCTCTCAAACATATGATGTTTACCCTATGTGGCTCTTACGTTAAGCAAGTTTGGCCACCCTGGTCTAGTCTCTCTTCAGTGCCTGCCCAACATCAATTTAATATATCCTAAAACTTGCCTACTGGCAGTATTATGGGCCACACAGAAGAGACTGGTTTCTTGGAACCTAAGGGACCTGAATTAGATCTCATTCCATAAAAAGAAAACTTTGAACTGTTCAGGACCGAACACCCAGGTCCTATGAATATCAACACGTTTAGTCGGTAAGTAATGAAAAGTGGTGCGATGTCAGTCGAAAGTAAGTATTCACAATCTTCCAAAGACTAAAAGATCCCCACAGCCTACTCTTTTAGCTTCACACAACACACGTCAAGTCCCTCCTATTCTCGCGTGTACTACAAAGGGGCTTTTTGGGGGGGGGGATCCCAGACATTTGGATTTTTTTTAAAGATTGTGATTCGCATCCCCAGCCATCTAAAGTCTCCTGCCGCCTGGACTCCCCTCGAGGACACGCTTCTTCCCCTCTCTCCGTTACAAGCTCTCAACCCCACGTCAATTAGCGAGGTCCTACTCGGGGCCCTGGATTCTCCTCCCTCAGCCCCCCCCCCTCGCTTTTCTTTCTCAGACCCTGCCGCCCGGCGGATTATCTCCCTGTTTCCAGCGGATACTGTCACTCACAGCGTCCTGGGTTGCCCGTCGTCTTCCATCGCGGTAGGGACGGCCACTCATAGACGGGCCCTGGATACCGCGCAGTAGGTGAAGGAACAGGGAGGCTCCGACGCGCGATGAAGAAACGCGCAAAGCCCGAGATCCCTCTTCTCCTCCGGGGCCTGGCAAGACCAGAACTAGAACCGAGAGACAGAAAAGGGGGAACCCAAAGCTCCACAAAATGGCCGCTGCCGCCAACCACTCAGGAAGCCACGCAACACGCAAGCGCAACCCGTTCCTTCCTCCCCACGCCACCATAGAGATTGAGAGACTAGAAAGGCGCACGCCTTCCGGCTTCCGATCTCCATTTTACTCAGTGGGAATTCCAGGGGGTGCCTGAATGAGAGAGAAAACAGCGCAAGGCGTCCGCGTTCAGTTGCACACCGGCTCTAACTCTGGCGGCGGCTTTGGAGGAGGCTGATTGAGATGTTTAGTTTATTGGATATATACATTTGCTGTATCCATAAGTTTGGAGCTTTGGGGGGTTTTTTTTGCGAAGGCTTTCTTTTGCTCTATTTGTCTGTTTCTAACAGGACGCTTGAGACGGTTTCAGGGTGAAACAGATGCAACGTTCCAAGTGCAGTGGATTTGGCTCGGAGACTCAGTCGCCGCATGCTGAGGCGTTTACTTTCAAGGCAGAGGATGTGTGTTGGATACTGAAACGTGTTTAACGCGTGCAAGGTAGTACAGCCCTCGTAGAACGGAGTGTACGGCTTCAGACTACAGCTGGCAGAGTCTAGGCTTGAATGGTGGTGGGGGGATCTCCTTGTAACCATGATGTTTTTAAAAAACCCACAAACCTCCATGTAAACCTCCGTCTTTTCCTTTTCTTGTTCTGTTTTTCTGTTTGGAGGGAGTTGTTGCCAAAAATGATCCTCCGTATGCCAGTCTTCACTCTTGAGTCTGTATCACCCATTTTGCTGCATGTGTAAACCAGGCCATAAACACACCAGCCCTGCCCAGATTTTTCTAAACCGGATAGGCTGGATGTGTAGAGAGGGCAGTGGGATGAACATAAGAACATAAGAACATAAGAGATGCCAATGTTGGATCAGGCCAAAGGCCCATCCAGTCCAACACTCTGTATCCCACAGTGGCCAGAAATACCAGTGCCATCAGGAGGTCCACCAGTGGGGCCAGGACATTAGAAGCCCTCCCACTGTTGACCCCCCCCAAGCACCAAGATGACAGAGCATCACTTGCCCCAGAGTCCCTATCTATACCTTGTGGCTAATAGCCACTGATGGACCTCTGCTCCATATGCTTATCTAATTCCCTCTTGAAGCCGTCCATGCTTGTAGCCGCCACCACTTCCTGTGGCAGTGAATTCCAAGTGTTAATCACTCTTTGGGTGAAGAAGTACTTCCTCTTATCCGTTCTAACCCGACCGCTCAGCAATTTCATGGAGTGCCCACGGGTTCTTGTATTGTGAGAAAGGGAGAAAAGTACCTCTTTCTCTACCTGCTCTTTCCCATGCATAATCTTATAAACCTCAATCATGTCACCCCTCAGTCGTCGTTTCTCCAAGCTAAAGAGCCCTAAGCGCCTTAACCGTTCCTCATAGGGAAAGTGTTCCAACCCTTTTATCATTCGAGTTGCTCTTTTCTGCACTTTTTCCAAAGCTATAATATCCTTTTTAAGGTGTGGTGACCAGAACTGCACACAGTATTCCAAATGAGGTCTCACCATTGATTTATATAGGGGCATTATTATATTGGCTGATCTGTTTTCAATACCCTTCCTAATAATCCCCAGCATAGCATTGGCCTTCTTTATTGCAGTCACACACTGTCTCGACATTTTCAGTGAGTTATCTACTACAACTCCAAGATCTCTCTCTTGATCTGTCTCTGCCAGTTCAGACCCCATCAACGTGTATTTATAGTTAGGATTTTTGGCTCCAATGTGCATCACCTTGCACTTGGCCACATTGAACCCCATTTGCCATGTTGACGCCCACTCGCCCAACTTTGACAGATCCCTTTGGAGTGCCTCACAATCCTCACTGGTTTTCACCACCCTGAACAACTTCGTATCATCCGCAAATTTAGCCACTTCACTGCTTACTCCCATCTCCAAATCATTAATGAACAAGTTAAAAAGCAGTGGACCAAGTACTGATCCCTGTGGTACCCCACTGCTTACACCCCTCCACTGGGAGAACTGCCCATTTATACTCACTCTCTGTTTTCTATTAATTAGCCAGTTTTTGATCCATAAAAGGACTTGTCCTTTTATCCCATGATTTTTGAGCTTGCTTAGGAGCCTTTGATGAGGAACTTTATCAAAAGCTTTCTGGAAGTCAAGGTAAACAATATCTATTGGATCCCCCTTGTCCACATGTTTGTTCACCCCCTCAAAGAACACTAACAGGTTAGTGAGACAAGATCTTCCCTTACAGAAACCGTGCTGAGTCTGCCTCAATAGGTTTTGTTCATCTATGTGCCTACTAATTCTTTCCTTAATAATGGTTTCCACCAATTTACCCGGTATCGACGTCAGACTGACTGGCCTGTAATTTCCCGGATCTCCTCTGGAACCCTTTTTAAAGATGGGAGTGACATTAGCTACCTTCCAGTCCTCAGGAATGGAGGCTGATTTTAAGGAGAGATTACATATTTTTGTCAGGAGATCCACAAGTTCACAATTGAGTTCTTTCAGAACTCTTGGATGTATGCCATCTGGGCCTGGTGATTTATCAGTTTTTAAGTTGTTTATCAGTTTTAGGACCTCCTCTCTCGTCACCTCAATCTGACTCAGGTCTTTCAACACCCCTCCCGAACTCAGCGGCTCTGGAGTGGGCAAGCACCTCTCATCTTCCACAGTGAAGACGGAGGCAAAAAATGCATTTAGCTTCTCAGCCATTTCCCTATCATCCTTCAGTACTCCTTTTACCCCTTGGTCATCCAAGGGCCCCACTGCCTCCCTGGCTGGTTTCCTGTTTCTAATGTATTTGAAGAAAGTTTTATTGTTGGTCTTTACATTTTTTGCTATATGCTCCTCATATTCCCTTTTTGCATGCCTGACCACAGACTTGCATTTTATTTGCCATAGCCTGTGTTCTGTTTTATCAGCCTCACTGTGACTAGCTTTCCACCGCTTAAAGGAATCCTTTTTACCTTTTACAGCTTCCATTACTTTGTTTGTTAACCATGTAGGCTTTTTCTTATACCTGTTTGTGCCTTTCCTAACCTGCGGAATATATTTTATTTGAGCTTCTAGAATTGTAGTTTTAAACAGTTTCCAAGCTTCCCCAATGGAAGATGTGGTCTAAGGTATCAGGTTCTCCGGATGGAACAATTACAAATTCTGTCACATCTCGGGATACTTCTGTATCTACCTGAAACCCAAGATGAGGGGAAAACATTAAATCTGGCTAGCATAAAGGCTCTGCGTTGCAGCAGGATCACCAATTTAGAAAAGTATTGTGCCATACTATTTGGTACATATCTGAGACCGAGCCTGGATTATTTGGGCTTCAATGTCCCAGATTCTTCTATGGCGCTGCCCCCTTCACTCACATCTTTGATTACTTTGGATTAAGCACTTACTGTCTAGAATTAACTATTGACAACGCAATTAGGTACCTTCTAGCTGATAAATCACCAGAAGTTGCTGCACAGATTGCTGAATTCTTGTCCAAGATTTTGGCAGTAAGGAACCATTTTTAATATTGACGTGTGTAACGATTCCTTGTTTATGGGTGTGTGTCTTTTTAAAAGTTTGGTTGCATGTGATAGTCTAGAGTGCTTGAAGAGGCAAGTGTGGTGTGATTGGTGAGTGACAGAGAGGGGGAGGGGTTTTGGAAGTGATGCTGTGTGGATGAATATGTATGTCTATCAGGAGTGACAGTTATTGTTAAAACTCTGAATCCATACAGGGATTCCATATAATAAGCGAGAGATTACCGTAACCTGGAAAATTCGAATGGTCGATAATAAAAATGGGTAACAGCCAAAATCCTGTTTTTAGCCAATTGGAGCAATTGGTCCCAATGGAAAGACCGTTTTAAATTATAGTGAAACCAAACACCCAAGTACCTATGGTATGCATGTAGATAGGCTACTCATGTGAATGTATAGGTGCCTGTGGTTACCCTGAAGACATTCAACTGTACATGTAATTTTCAACGCCCAAAAAGGGCTCATATTTGGGAGGCTGCTGGTGACTGTTGCTTGAGAAATGCTGCGATGTTTCACTGGGGAAAGCAAGCCAGGAAAGCCACAGTGAAGGAGACATGTTCTCGTGCCAGGTTGCAGTTCCTTGTGGGCAATGCTCCCTCTATGCTGTGAAGTCTTGTGAGCAAAAATTCTGCTTTGTGAGCTACTGGCATTAAGGTTGTGAACGAGCAAGTTGGCTGCTGCATAAATTAGTTTGCTGTGGAGCCATCCTTCCTGAGCTAAGACAAAAATCTGTGAGCTGGAGACTAAGAAACTGTGAGCTAGCTCATGCTAACTCAGCTTAGAGGGAACACTGTGGGTTGTGTGCATTGTTTGCTGAGGAAAGGAAATTATGCTGAGCGAGTTGAAGCTGGAAGATCCATTTATTTGGCTGGAATACTTAACCACTGAGGCCTTGGCATTGCTAATGCTGCCCGCAACAGCAAGGAGAGTCTGATAATCTCTTGTCACTTGCACCTCATCATCCACAACAACAAAGATTTTTGTTTAATTATATTATTTGTTTAATTGATGGGTAGCTTGATATTTTTCTGTGAGTTGTTTTGGGTTCTTTACAGCCATACAAATGCTGTAAATAAATAAAGAATGATGATGATGATGAACCTGAACCCGGTTACACTCTGCCCCTGGAGAGGCTTTTCTTTCTCGGGTAGCCTGCCGCCGCCACCTGACTTTCGTAGGAATTGCCCGCTGGGAGGGTCAGTTCCCTCTAAGCTGTGGACTCTTGTGAGCAAAAATTCTACTTTGTGAACTACTGGCATTAAAGTTGTGAGCGAGCGATTTGGCTCCTGCATGAATTAGTTATCTTTGGAGCCATCCTTCCTGAGCTGAGACAAAAATGTGTGAGCCAGAGGCTAAAAAACTGTGAGCTAGCTCACACTAACTCAGCTTAGAGGGAACACTGGTCAGGACTCCCAGCTTCCCTTCCATCTTCTGAGTCCTTGCCTCCGTATCTCCTGCTATATGTTCAATGTGTGCTCCCTGTATGTTAAATTCCTTAATTTTCCTTCAATAAAACATTCTCCATTTTACCCTTGGACTGGTTATTAAGAGCTCTCAAAAAGGGGAAAATCCCCATAAACATAGGAAGATCCTCGTTAATACCCCACCTCTCACTGAGGCCTGCCATTTAGCTAAATTCCCCCAGATACTGAAGGCAGCAATTCAGCTTCTTAAATCTATGCGGGTAGGGGTAGCTACTCACTCATCTGTCTACATCTGGGTTGATCTCAGCTGATGCTGCACCTAGCAGCTTTTGCCACTCATGTGTCCAGATGTACAAAAAGCCTGCAACAGCTTTCCATCCCCCGTCTGGTGGAGAGGAAGGAAACAGGAATCACCAGCATAGGTGCTGTAGTGCCAAGGAAGGGAAATTGGCCCTATCCTCCTGGTTTCAAGCACTCTAGACCTACACAGTGTCCGACATAGTGGGGAAGCACAACTAATGGCATTTTGTCAGTTACCACCACCATCATCCCATCCTGTGTTGTTTATTTGTAAGTGCTTCACCCTTGTGGAATGCATGTGTCTTTGGATTGCACCCAAACGTACATTTACCTAGTGCAGCCGTATTGCACATTCAATTCGCATATGGAATATACAAGTTCACTGCCTGATTTTTTTGTTAATTCTTCACCAGTGAAACTGTCTAAAGACTTTTTATCACTTTATTCCAGTTTGGTTGCCAGCATGCCATCCCTGTTATAAACAAAATCTTAATGGTGGCTGCAGAAACTGAAAACAATTGCCAATGTCAACCTGTGTGTTTTTTATCTTTTGACAAAAAGGACTTCAGTTACTTTAACTTTGAGACAAGCAATAGTTATAATAAGGCTCCATTCTGTGGGGTTAGCAGGAAAGTGAGGTTTAATGCTCAGAAGAGGAGTGCAGTAGGAGGATTGCCCTTGTTTTCTGTTAAAAGCATTTGTGTTCTCAATAGCTGTATGTCATGCATGAATTCAAGAGGTGCGGTCCCCCCCATTACTGCCTCCATGCTGTGAAACTACACAGCTTGCATTTTTGCCTATCATACAACTGTAAAAGGCACAAAAGGGAAAAGGTGGAAACTTTAGAAAATGGTGAAGTCAGGTAGTCAAGGGAAGCAATCATGTGGGTAATGGAGCTTGTATTTGTGTTTAAATGTTCTTTATTCATCATATCTGCTTTATAATGAAGTAGCTTAGAACAAGGCAGATTTCTTCTACCCTATAGCAACAATTCTGAAAGCTTCAAGGTTTTTCGCCTACTTTGATGTCTCCATTGTCCCTACCTCCACCCTGAGTCAATTCCATAAAGTATGAGTAAAGTCTGTTCCTGTCTATTCTTTCAGTACGTCTTCCTCTCTAGTTATTTTATTAGCAGTGGAACTTATTCGGGAAGCATCTAGAACTTTCATGTGTAAGAAGGTCAGTGGACCATAAATAAACACATTGCTCTTGCCAGTTTAAATAAATGTCATCTCTGACAGTTCTTCAAGTCCCCACTGTATAAAACACTAAACTAGACCAATGATATCTGGTGGTGTCCCTACTTGATTACAGTAAGAATGCAAGTTACTTATTGGATATAGAGGAATTTCACATTACCCTTTTTACGCTGGCTTGAAGCCGTTTTTGATCCATTGTGGAGTAAACCAGTATAGGGCTGCCATTTCACACATGGCTTTCCCCTACCGGTAAACAGCTGGTTCTGAAGCGGTTTGCCATTTCAGACTGCACTGCTTTTTCCCGCTTTTTCCTGCCATTTTTAACCCGCGTGGGCGATTTCCGGCTTTTTAAAAAATGTTCGCTTTATAACACTATAACACAACACTCCAGGCATTCCAATGGGGTTGCTATAATGCTGTTTTGCTGTTGTGTTATAGCGCCATAGTGCTCTAAAGCAAACGTTTTTTTAAAAAGCTGGAGATTGCCCCCGCGGGCGAAAAATGGTGGGAAAAAGCGTTTCGGATCCAGGAGAAGAAACTGAAGACTACTTGGAAGTGGTTTACAGATAAAACCTGTAATGGGACAGAAGCGTTTCCTGAACGGGATAGTACAAATATATTTCGGTAGGGAACAGGTTCTAAAACGGTTCTGTATGAAATGTCAGACCAGAAACCATTTGGGAACCGTTCCTGAACTGGAATATATCACCTGTCTGAAATTCCTCACTGTTCTACAGAGTCAACAGAACCAAAGTGTGAATTGGCCAAAAAAAAAAAAAATCAGCTAGAAGAGTGTATAAGTGTACTGAAGCTTTGTCTCTTCTATTTCTAGCATATTGGCCGTTTCCAGCTCTCCCATTGGCTGTGCAATGCACTCCATCAGCCATTGGTCTGTCAGCTGCCACTCAAGAGTACTCGCGTGCCATTGGCTGGGTGCTGGGTCTGCTCCTCTTCCCCGCCCACTGTTGCCTGGCAAATAGCTGTCTCTCCTGACGAAGACACTTCTCTTGCTTGGCTCCTCCATGGGACTAACTTTTTCCTCAGTGGCTGTTGGTAGGCAAACAAGTTTGGTTCTGTCAGTAAAAAGACAAAGGAAGGAAACCCTTTCCAGGCCTTTGTGAGGAACTCATTGGGGCCCATCCTGACTAGGGTTGCCAGCTCCAGGTTGGGAAATTCCTGGATATTCTGTGTCTAAGGAAGCCAGAGTTTGGGGAGGGGAGAGACCTCAGCTGAACAGAATGCCATAGAGCCTACCCTCCAAAGCAGTTATTTTCTCGGGGGGGGGGGGGATCTGTTGTCTGGAGTTCAGTTGTGATAACTGGCGATCTTCATTCTGTTCAACCCCGTTGTGCAGCTCTTTCCCCTAGGGTTGCCAATCTCCAGGTGGGACCTGGAGATCTCCCGCTGTTAAAATTTATCTCCAGATGACTGAGGTCTTTTTCCTCCCCAAACGCTGCCCTCCACAGGATCCTTTCCCCCAAATCTCCAGCTATTTCCCTACTCAGAGCTGGCAACCCTACTTTCCCCTCAGTACCTGTTGCTAGGCAACCAAGCTTGGTTCTGTCAGTAAAAGGTGTGGGGGAAGGAGACCCTTTCTATGCCTGTTTTGGCCTTTGGGAGAAAACTCATTGGGGCCAGTTCTGACTAGGATTGCCAGCTTCAGATAGGGAAATTCCTGGAGATTTTATGGTAGAGTCTACGGAAGCAAGGGTTTGAGGAGAGAAGAGGCCTCAGCTGAAGAGAATGCCATAGAGCCCACTCTCCAAAGCAGTTATTTTATTGGGGGGGGGGATCTGTTGTCTGGAGTTCAGTTGTGATACCTGGCAATCTTCAGGCTCCACCTGGAGGTTGGCTACCCTAGGCATAGCAGTCAACGCTTCAGAGCAGGGTCTGCTAGACCCAGGTTCATGCTGTGGAAGCTGAGTGGGTGATTTTGGACAAGTCACAGACTTTTAGCCTAACCTACCTCACAGGGTTGTTGTGCAAGTCAAAAGGGGGAGAGGAGAATGATGTAAGCTGCTTTGGTCCCCATTGCAGATAAAAACTACTTTTCCTCCTGGGGAAAAGTGGTGGAGGGACGACTTGAGTTTTCAGTTCAATTGGCGCCTATGGGTCATGCCATTTGTTCATTGGTGTAACTCTCCACCTCTGGCAGGGGGTGTTCCCAAGGTGAAAAGGCTCATGGTGCCAAATTCCTCTGGCCATGCCCACAAATCCACCCACAGCCATGCTAGCACAGGGGCCTATGCCATGGTTGCACTAACAGGCAGCTTGGGTGGCCATCCGCCAGCACCTGAGAGCGACGGAGCAGCATTGGGGCCCTGCACTATCATAACTGGCCCTTATGCTAGCATGCCTCAGACATACGCTGACGTGAAGGTCAGTTGGTTCCCAGAGTGCTTTCAAACCCCACCCCCAACTTTGCCCATTGTTTACTGCACCAGGATGATGCAAATAATTAAATAAAAACCTATGTGTATAAGACTGATTTGTGTTCATATTTTTCAGAGATTTTGTAACTTTGGTTGCCAAAATGAAATCAGTTTTTTCCCATTAGTTTGCAACTTGACTACAGCTGATGTTGAATCCTATTACTACTACAGCGTTATGTAAATTAAGTCTATTTCAATGCATGTTTGCTCAGAAATAAGTCCCGCAGTTCAGTAGGATTGCAGCCTAAGGCTGCTTAATACATGAAGATTTTCCAGTACTGTTTGCTCTTCTAATTTGAATGCACAAAATTAAAAATAGCTTTTGCCATCTCTTCAGCCTGCAAATAAGCTAACAGAAGTTATTTGCCCGTAGCCATTTTTTATAGCCAGACTGTTTGCATGTACTAGTTTATAATTTGATAAAGAAGAAGAACATTTGGGAAAGCTTTCCTTCTTGATCCTGGGGAGGCAATTTTTGCTCATCACACTCATCCAGGTAAGTATATCACAGTCAGCTTTACTCGTTTGCTATGCCAGAATTATTGTGCATTTCTTGTTCCTTCTTTTCCTTACCTTTCGTGCGTTGCTCTTTGATCATAAACAAAGGCAGCCTTTTTTGTACAGTGCTTAATCTTTGAGAATAAATGGCC